TACAAATTCAGAGACCTGCAGGAGCCCTGCAGCCATCACCGCAGGAATTGGCTGACATTTAGAGGATGAGAGCTCCTGCCCTCGCAGCCTCTCACTCCACGTTGGAGCATGTAAACAGCCAGAGAGATCCTTCCTGCACTTCCAGGCCCCAATCATCTGTGCAAACCATGATTCTGAGAATAAGGAGTGTAGTGTTCTTCTCAGGAGCCTTTGTTTGATTCAGAGCCCTGAGGCTTGATTGGGCTCTGATACCAGCTCTGCCACTGGCCAACTGAATGACCTTGAACAGTCAAACCACCTAAGTAAGTTTGCAGTTACTGTGAAAAATGAGAAGCCTATAGTGGATGATGTGACTTAGCCAAGTTATCTTCCTCTCTCACACCCATGTCAGTTGCAATTACTGAGGGCTTCAGGAAAGATCACTGATGATGTCCAGACCCACTGAGGAAAACTGAGACTACAGAGTGACATGACTTTCTAAACCTGAACTCAGCCATGGGAAGACAGGGGAGCGTTTCCAGCTTTGACCATGGAAGGATCTGGGCTGTGGGTCCTTCAAGGGCGTGTCCAAGTGCAGCTGTCTTGGACATGGAAAATGGTTTTGTCTGGTTCTGACTGCAGCCAGGTTACTTGAGTCTTCAATTGTTGGCCAGAACCATAGCCTGTGCTGGGCCTCATCAGCTTCTCTGGAAGCTTACCTCCCCAGATGATCACTTGCCATTGGGAATCTGCCCTTCTTTCGACAGACAGCTATGTTGATGGAATGTGCTTAAAAACTTTAGAGTTTAATATAGCTCCAAAAAAATGGAGGTCATTAAGTCAGTTAATAAGGAAAAGGGGAAGAGGGACAGCATTGCAGAGGAGACACTGGCCCATTTTAACCAGTGCTTCCACAGCGTTTGTGTGGTGCCCTGTGTGTGTGTTGCCATCACTGGAAATAAATTGTGCAGCTGTGTATCTTGGTATGGCAAAGTTGCCATAATTTAGCAGTTGCATGTCCAAGTTCACAACCACCAATCCAAGAGAGGAGGGAGGGCTCGAGGAGAGAAGGGTTGTCAAAGTGCTTTATGAGTGTGTTCCATGTTTAATGCTTTTTTTTTTTTGAGTTGGAGTCTCACTTCGT